ATTCACTTTAAGCTATGTGTTATAAGAATGACATTCAGTTCCTTAGCGCGAATAGTAGGTGTTAGGGTGCTACTGACTGGTCACCTTCCCTCTAGTCAGTAGTTCAAAATTAGGGACAGCAAAACATATATAGGTTCAGTAGTTTGCTATAAATACAAATACTCAAATGAATTACAAAATAAACAGTCGCCATGTTAATACGTTGTCGACTCCTTCTTCGAGGCAATACACTATGTTTATTACCCAAGTTAAAATCAGTTTTAAACTCTTCTAGTTCTAAAATTAAAATTTAAACAGGCATATGATACAAATTTGGGAAATAGTTATTAACCAAAACATCAAATAATTAACAGTTAAGCTCTCAGTTGCTCATGGTAAGGCTGCAAGCTTACGACGCTAAAATCCGGGTTTCGATACCCATGGTGGATAGAGCATAAATAGACCATTGTGTAGCTTTGCGCTTAACAACAACACTTTTAGTTACATTTTATATTTCGCAAAAATAATTTTCATGAAAAGTGACATCTATCAGATTTGAGTGAAACAACATTATTATACCCATGATACTTTGCTCTTACCGTTCTTTCCGAAGAGAGAAGCCGAAATGGTTAGTATGTTTTATATTTACTCATTGTTAAGCTAAATGGTGTTGTTTTACAATAATTACTTTATTCTAGTTTTATTAAGATCCAGACTATATTTTTTTAGAAAATAGATTAAGTACGGGAAAGTAATCATGTGATCGGATTTCACGGTATATTTGATGAAAATTACTGGTACTATAAGCCTAGGCCTACAGATTGAAAGTCCATTTTATTGTTGGGCTGAACATGTGGCCAAGATGGCGGATTTTGTAAATTAAGCCTAGCTTATCTTGAAACTCTTTTGTAATTATTATAGGTTTGTATGAAGTTTAATGCAATGACAAATGTAATTTGAATATTGTGTTTAACCAAGTACATGAACCTGTTTAAAGTTTAATTCTTTTCGAAAATTTAACAGGAATAGAAACTTGTAATACGTATGATGTTCGCCATTGCCAATTTCTCTGTTATTAATAAATTTAATTTTGTTTTTTCTAATGTAAAAATGCGTAACAATCTCCCATATTAAAATAACCTCTAGTATCTGTGGCATTCACATTGACCTTTGTTAATTTATGACCTTTCTTTGGCTTACAAATATTAGAAAACTCCCATCTTACAAGGAAAAAAGTATTAGCTTCAAGGTGTCTGAATGTGTTATAAGAATTTATACATTTTTGTAACTACGACTAAGGAAGGGAACTACATGGCAAATATATTACTAGAAAGAAAATAGCCAATATATTATCTTTCGAGTTTCAGAAACTTAAGGTAGTTGAGTTTTTACAATGCAGACGTACCAGATATGAGGCTTAACTTTGTTCACAGGTGGGAGAGTTTGATGATTTCCACTGTCTCAATAAAAATTACAGTAGTTGGCAAAAACGTAAAATTAAGGCTGGCAGTTTTTTTAGTTACACCAACCAAAACAAATAGTCTCACATTGAAGGAAAATATAGAATGTTTCAGTTATTTTGGAGGCAATTTGAGGAGTCATTTATAAAAAAAATAAAAAATCTTGATACAATTTTGCCCCTGTAATAATCCAAGTCACCGGGTAGGAAAGGATTAACCTTTAACTTTTGTTAAGTATTTGAAAGTGTTTAAGTTTCTGGGTATTTTGTAATTATTATAATTTTTTGTGATCTTTTCATTATGACCTAAGTTTTTCAACAATTTTAGGATATATGACAAGTACTTCTTGAAAGCACTTACTTATCTTGGTGTTTCATTGGAGTTTGTCAAAAAGTGACTAGTATGATTAGAATTCACTTGATTTGGTAACGTTAAGAGGTTTCTGTCAGTGTGCACTGTTGGTTGGAGAATTCGTACTATCTAATTAAAATTTTACCATTGGGATGTGATACTTACTAAGATTAAATTTAACTATTCCCAAATCTCAAGTTTAGTATACTTACTATGGAGTTTCACTAAGTTTTCGATCAGAAAATGTTAGAACTACTAATAACTAAACTGAAAATCAGTGTGGAAATGGTTAGAGCTAATTAAATATACTTTAATTATGTTTACTTATAAAGGTCAGGATGCACTCTTTCATCAGTTGGATACCCTTATTGTTAACGATATTTTGGCCATAATCCCAATATCATAATGTTTGGCTAGCTTAGGAAATTTAGGTTAGTTCTAAATACAAATTCTAAATTAACAATACAAAACAAAGTAGTGCAGTAAAAGCTTTTAATTTGTTAGTAATGATTATTAACTTTCTCTCACTGTTACGTTCAGATACTTCAAATTTCGATTCATGTATATAAAACTGATATCTGTGTGAGGTAAAATATAATCCTACCATCAAATATTAATTAAATTTTTTAACCATTTGAATATTTTTCATGAAATGCACTTTTTTTTGGATTAAGAAAACTAATAATTTGTTATGCCGTTTATTGTTCAGATGATATATTCTTATTTTAATATTCTTTTACTCAAGAAATATTTTGTCAGTTTCAACATTTAGTGTAATTCATGAAGATAAATGTTCAAAATTATATTTCTTCAAAGCTTAATATAATTACAAATTTTTCATAATTTTTTTTCTAAGGCTCAAAGCATAGGCTTATATTTTTGAAGAAACTGTTATACCTTAAAATGATAATTCTTAAAGGTTTGTTTCTGTCTCATAAAATATGTACAAACACATGCATATTAACATCTATAATATTAAAAATGGCTATAATAAAAATATAATGCTGCATAACCAAAATAATTGAAGTCACCAAGGCACAGGCTATATGATGTGGGAAATATAAAATGTATCTTGGCCTTTGGAAGTAGGATCTACATAATGGTGGTGATGCAACGGCTGTCCTAACCTCTGTTTGCCAAGCCTTGCATATAAAAAGTAATACAGTAAAATAAATTAGATTTAAATTATAAAATCTTATTTTAATGGGTTAGCTCTTTCAGCACGGGCTCCGTCCCTGGGACCGACCTTGTAACCATTTTGTGCTTGTTATAGTTTTCATGCGATAGCTTTTAAATTAATAATCAAATGTTAATGAAATTTGGCAGATTATCAATAAACATTACAATGCTTTCATATGCGAAATATATTTTTTTTACTAAGTCTTAAGGTTTAATTTTTCGTTTTGCATGTTGCCTTTCTATCATGCAAAGTAATTTTAAGATTAAAAATACTTTTATGCATCAGAAAATTTTCAAATTTCATATGCAAAATGTTTATAATGTCGAGATAGTTATCAAAAGTATCTTAAGAAAAAACTATTTTATCTGTTGTTTTCAGTAATTAATCTTTTTATGGGTTTGGTAGATTTGACCGATCTTGGAACAACCATAAAAAATTAGGAAATAAACATAAATTATGCCTCTTTCATTCTAGAATGAA